CTAAGTGCTAGATAAACCCCTCTGCTTCAATCATAGAATATCAGGGTTGGAAGGGACCTCCGGAGGTCATCTAGTCCAACCTCCTGCTCAAAGCAGGACCAATCCCCAATTTTTGCCCCCGATCCCTAAATGGCCCCTCAAGGATTGAACTCACAAGCCAAGCTCTCTCTCCCCTCCTGTCCCACCCAGGGACCTGACAGCTGACAATGCAGGCAAGGGGTCCGCTGTCACTCTGCTTCCCCAACACAGCTCGCAGGTCTGTCTTTGATGCTACTCACAGCTTTGCCAAGCAGCAGAGTGAGACTGCCCCTATTCTCGGTGATGTTACTGCTGCTCACAGCTTCAGGAAGGCAGTTCTGCACCACGCCCCGCACAGAACGTTGCTGCGAGTTTCCCTTAGGAACCACAGGGGTACAGCCCTCATGAGCAGGAAGCAGGAAGCAGACCCTTATGGTCTGCAGAAGCTGAAGGCACTTGGCAAAGGGAGCCATGGGCTCCTCCAAGCCCTGAGCTCAAGTCTGTGGCTGAATAGCCCTGGTAGACTGCTCTTCTTCAGGCTGTTACCAGCTCGCTACACAACGTGACTGCACTCCGTGGCTCCCTCTGTGGAGCAGCGACTGCACATGTGAGTGCTCCACAGCAGCTGGTCAGTCTGACACTCCTGCCACGTGTGCCCACACCAACACATCTGGTTCCAAAGGTGCCCGAGAACGGGGAGTGTGCACTTTTCCAGCCCAGCTCCCGAGGACAAGCCCAGCCTGACAGCTTTCAGGCCACTGTGCGGTTTGCCGAGTAGGGACACACGACTGGCAGTGCAGACCCCAAGGGAGCTCCAGTTCCCAGCCAGGCAGTAATTCTGTCAGGGACTTCAATGATCAAGTCCGGTTCCTTGTTTACAGGACAGGCTCTTGCTGAGCAAAGTTTTCAGGAGGACACCATGCATTTGTCTGGGGTTAAAATGCAGGAGGGTTCGCGCAGCAGCCAGCCCTCTCTTAGCAGTGACAAAGGGAGTGTGAAGGCCTGATTCTCCCCACTTTCCTAAGCTGGCGGCATTTCACACCTGCTCTGCATTGCTGTAAGTGGCTGCACCAAAGGCAGGGCAGGGTGAATCGGCCCCGGCCCCTCCCCTCCCAAGATAGCTCCTAGGACTCCATTACACTAGTGGAGCTGTGCGTCCTGCCTAGTGAGAAACTGCTACTTCCTTTTTCCACCTCACCCGTTGGCAATGGATGGCCAGAGCCCAGCACACACAGTGTAGGACTCTTCAGCTGTAAGATGGCAGTTGCAGCCCCCGCAGGCCAGACCGCCCCTTAGTGGCCCACCAGGAACAGGAGCCAGCACTTTGCTCTGGGTAGCAAAGTGTCATATCCAGCAGCACACCCAGGGGAACGGGGAGAAGAGCTTTCAAAAGCATCTAGGTCTCATCACAAGGCAACAGTGTTTTTTCCTCTCCAGAAAGCCTCAGTGAATTTTAAGAGCTTCCAGTCAATATCCAGCTGATCCCTAGCCTGTCCCTGTCAGACACAATACTCAGGCACACTACGGGGACTGAATTCATCCAGTCTTCTGTGCAGTCCCTGCAGGAGGCTGATGGGAACTCTGTTAGAGTCTGCCTCCTAGGAACACACAAGGAAACCACATTCAGAGAGAGGCAGTTCCCAACAGATTAACCAAACCAGCACTTGGAGGAGTCTGAACAGGTCTTTGTGGGGGAAATGTAGAATTGCAGGGGATCTCTGAGCAGGAAAGGATTCCTCCTGCTCTTTAGACTTCGCCAGGCAGCCCATCCTCCTAGCGAACACACATTTTAGCTTTGCTATTAGCTTTCCTGTCCTGGCATCATCTTCTACCAATCAGATCAGCATAGTTACCATAGTGGGATCAGTAAAGGGTAATGTTACTAGACACTAAACTGGGTTTGGGCACATGCAACCGAATAGGTGAGCCAAGCAGACCAGTTCACATAAGACGACCTGACTCTAGTGCCAAAGAGCAATGCTTGCAGCTTCTGAAAGACTTCTGTCTCTCCCCATCTCCCTCCCCCAGCATGATTTGCTGAGGAACCTACTCCATGGGGAAAATCGGACAGCAGCACAGGGGCTAATGTAAGGAACGCCACACCAGTTAAATCCCACACAGTGGCTACACTGGGAGCCACTGGCAGTGCAGCCTAATAGGGATTCCTACACATCCCCTACAAACCAGAAAGGGTCTCCAGGCTGGCTCCACAGGCTCCAGCAGCAAGGGGGAAAGGGCACAGATCTGTAGCGTTTACACAGCTCCAATGGCTGCGATACCCTGCTCCACCGGCCAGGAGATGCTATAACTGCGCTCTGGATATCACCTCTCCTGATGCTCAGCGCACGACCAGAGCACCCAGGCAGTATGTGGGCAGAGGAAACTTTATACTAGCTGGCGCATTGGGTATTTATCAGCCATGGGCAACGGCAGCATGCCTGCAGCTCAGATCACCATGTGTGAGACACATCCGGAAGGGTTCTCAGGAAGGGCGTAGTTCTGCTCTGATCAGTGGCTGAAAATGGCATTGTGGGGCTTCCCGTTCACTGTGCTTCGATGTGTCTGCCCCAAATGCCCAGCGTCTGAGCACTGTGGTGGGTAGCCAACCGCCAGCCCTGCAGGGGAGCGAAAGCCACGCACTCTGCCTGGTAAACCATCGTCAGCACCAGAGACCCGCAATCGGAAGGGTTAGACCAGTGTGTGTAATGCACAAGCTGGAAGAGAACCCATCTCACTCTCCCAGAGGTAAAGCACTCATTTGCCACTGAAATCTGGGGACGTGTCTGACCAATAAGTGGCGCTTTTGCAGTTGCTTTTCTCAACACATCTGCACGCTGAGGAGGAGGAGAGGAGCAGTAAGAAGCCCAAGAGTTGTCTGCCTTAAAAGGTGACTGACAGGGCCCTTTGGAGGGAGTGGAGTCAGTCATATTAAGCCGGCTGTGGTGGTGTTCTCCCCTATGTTAGCCCATGTAAGATGGGGTAGTAGCACCTAGTGGTCAGTCTACCCCACCCCCTGGGATGGCCCTTTAAAGATCTCAGAGTAGCAGCCGTGTTAGTCTGTATTCGCAAAAAGAAAAGGAGTAATTGTTTCATGTTCTCTGTGTATATAAATCTCCCCACTGTATTTTCCACTGAATGCATCCGATGAAGTGAGCTGTAGCTCACGAAAGCTTATGCTCAGATAAATTTGTTAGTCTTTAAGGTTCCACAAGTCCTCCTTTTCTTTAAGGGTCCAGCACATACAGAGAGAGACCTAACCAACTAAAATCTTCTTCTGCCCTGGAGTTGTGTCCCACCCCCACTGACTTGGCTTCCCCTGGATGGGACAAGGTGGCTCATGCTTCAGCTCTACCCTCCCCTCCCAGAAGCAAGGAGAGAACTGGGAGGGAAGAAAGAGAGCTGCCTTTTCAGAGATGCTATTGCCCCCTGCCATCCATGAACAATGTACTGCCCAGCAGCTTCCTCCATACTCCTGCCACCCCTAACCAGTCTCCTGGCAGCTCCAGTCCTTGCAGGGACAGGGAAGACAGGGGAAATCAGCATTCACTGGGAGAGGGCAGCCAATGTTAGCAGTGTGGAGGAGCGGATCGCCAGTATTCACTGGATGGGGGTGTGGAGTGGCACATTGCATTCACTGCAACGGGGTGTGGCATCAATATTAACTGAGCCTGCATGGGGCACAGACATGACTTGGAGGTGAGGGAGAAGAGTGCTTGTCTCTTAGAAGGACACTATAGATATTAACTCAGCTGCAGCCAGTCATGTAATGAGGTTGGGCTTAGAACCAGTGAACACTGATACTCATAAAAGCAGTTCTGTAATGCCAGCCAGGAGATGGGATTTCTGTTCTGCAAAAAAATTGAGTTTGAGGGAAAGTATCATCCCGAATCAGGACAAAAAGCCACAAAACTTGAATTTTTTGTGGGGATGAAATTCCTAAATTTTTTGCTTTGGAAATACTGACACATTCCCTCAGTGGCACCACTTCAGTGTTTCCAAAACAAAATGTGCTCCCTGGAATCACCTGCTCTGCGGTAGCCGAAGGAGCTGACAGTCTGGGAAGCCCACCAGGTGAGCTGCGGAGAACAAGGGAGCCCCAGTGGCCAGTCTGCCTGCCTGGTGCCCAGCAAAAGTGCTGGCGGAATCAGCCTGTTCCTGCGGCACATTCCGATCCCACCAAACCAGTCCTTTCCGATGGAATGTCCGGCCAGCACTCGGAGTTTGGTGGGGACCAGTAGTGAACGGAGGATTCATCTCGTAAGAGAGCAGGCGGAACTGAGAAGGGCAGGGGCATCTTCCTAGCCCCGTACCAGTGAGTGTTGTTTGAATGGGAAGGGTTAGGATAACGTCCTATCTCTACACCATAGTGAATTTAGGAGAGGATTCAAAGTAACAGATCTGGCTGATATTTAAAGAACTTCAGTTCAAGGTTCACAGACTATTCCTCTTACAAATGCAACAGAAAGCAGGATACGTACAGACAGTGTGTGGGTTTGTGCAGCACCAGCATGTCAGGGACTTAAAACACGTAGCTGATTGGTCAGCTGCAGTTCAGTTGCTCCTAAACTCAACCTGCTATAGACCAAGCATCATGTGTCAACTATAACCTAGCACATGCCAGCCCAGAGCTGAACTGTCCTCTTATTCCATCTCAACCTTTGATATGTGAAATCCACTCGCGAGTGAATTAGGTTCACGTACATTTACAACCTCATAGTTAAAAAAAGCATCTGCAGTTAACTGTCCGGGACAGTAATTTTGTTACTGGAATTCATACCATGTGAAACTCTATTAACAAGCTGCCCCAGTCCATCCCTCCACCAAATTATGGGAGGAACATTTGTGCCGTAGAGTGCTACGGTGAAGAGGAGCCAGATCCCACTGGCCTGCTCTACCGGTCTGCTTTTAAAGTGATCCGATAGCTACATGCACGCTGTGAAACCCCACTGAAACATGTGACTGATGCAACCCCAAACACTCACCTGTATGGGAGCAACTCCAGGAAGCTCCACAACAGCAAGTCTCAGCTGACTTTTCTTCAGTTACATCTGAATGAAACAGTACTCAGAACATTTTTACATTCATCAACAGGTCCAAATGGGTGCACAGCAGGTAATCGAAGGGTCAATAGAATTTCAATCCCAGTGTTTCATCTCCGGCCATTAATGATGCCATCTGATTGCTGCAAGACTATTGTTTCACATCACATCTGGTCATCAGTGACCCTCAGATTGCGCTGTACACTTCAGTTCTCAAGGGTATCTCAGGATAGACACACTTAGCTGTGTTCCCACTTCAAATAGTTCAGAGTTCCAAAGTCTGGTCTTGCTGTAAAGGCAGGACTCCAAACCCAAGAGAGACAGTAGCCCTACAGATCCTTCAGCCACACCACGGTTTCACACGCCGCCCGATATAAAACCTTTAGCACTAGCATTGTCATTCATCTGGAGGAGAGAAGGACAAAGAAACTGTCACGTAGCAGCAGTCTTTCATGGCTTATAGTGTTCATCATGAACAGATTAATACACATTCCGTTTTCTTCCAGTTGCCAAATATGGTGAGTACTCAGTCTAAATAAAATGGCTCTTTTTCAGAACAGACAGTGCTTCTTTTGTCATAGGTTTGCTGGCAAATGAGTCACCACCACAGCTACTATGGACTGGGGCATGAGTGTTAGATGCTGCCTAGGGCAGACTGAATATTTGAGGGACAAGCCTTACAGTGTTTGTGTTCCATCTCAAACTGTTTAGTTTGAGGGTAGAAATGTATTTGCTTCCGAGATCTAACACAGTGTCAAACAAACAAAAGGAGATGTGGTTCAGGGGCTTCAGGAGATGAAAGGTCTACAGACAGAGCTGTGTTTGAAAACTGCATTAACACACAACTCAACACAGCTTCCTCCCTCTCCCAAGCTGCTTTAAACACAGTTGGTCCATTGCAGGGAAACAAGGGCAAACTGTGCTCAGAACTAGTTTCAGATGGTGAACAAGACCACTGAGGATCTAAAAGCAGGAAAGAACACCAAGGTTGGTACCCAAGATGAGAACAGCTGGCCACATACCCAGCTGACATTCTTTGCACATCTTTGTCTGCTACTGTTATAGAGCACACCCCTCCCCACAAGGGGGCACACATGAAACATGAATCTCTGAAGAGGGACTCAGCAAAAGGTTTGGGAACCTCTGCCCCACTGCATCCAGAGAAGCAAAGACACCATTTTAAAACCTGGACCTTTCTATCAAGTGATGTGTGGTTCCTATCTGTATTCCATGCATGGGGCAGGCATGTGCCCTATGCGCCCAAATCCAGAAATTTTAACAAGCAGCATCAGTTGGTCCGCGCACGCACAGTAGATCTCCTCATGCTCCCGAACAAGGGTACAAGAGGCAGTGAGAGTCGATGCCCCCTCAGTTCCTCTTCCTGCGAATTTAACCAAAGCTGAAGCAGAGGGGATGGAGGGTGGGTCGTGGAATACAAAGAGGGACAACACATCTCAAAGAACTTCCCATTACAGTCAGCAACCTCCATTTCTTCTTCAAGAGCTGGTCCCTACATGTATTCCATGCATGGGTGATTGGCAAGCAGTCCTCAGACTGGAGGTGGAAGCAAGGAAGCCGGCAACAAAGATGCGTGCACTACTGCAGATCCCACTGCTGCATTTGTAGGAGAGGTTTGGACTAGTGCGTAATGTATAGCAAATGTGTGTCTGGAACTCCAGGTAGCTGCTCTGCATATGTCCTGCATTGAGACTTCCTGCAGGGATGCTACCATGGCGGCCTGTGCTCTCGTGGAGTGTGCTATTATGCCTCCGGGAGGCAAAATGTGAGCTAGAATGTAGCACTTGATAAACAGCCAGAAACCCAACTAGAAATCCTTTGAGACAATATAACTGTGACATTCTACACCTTGGGGGAGCGTCCTGGAACCCCCATAGTCCTCATTTTTATATAATTGTGATCTTACATTTAAAGCATGACTTGTAAGGTATCAGGGGAAAGGTTATGATCTGCTGAAAGTCATTTCTCTATCCATAGATGTGTATCATTAATGTATATGAAGTTATGAGAATTGTGTTGTATAGTGGTCACTAATACAAGCTATAAATTGGGGAATCAGCCAAATATTAGCTCCCCAGAGGCAACAGCAAGAAAAGTAACCAACACCCGGGCAGGGTGTCGAACAACCCATCAACAGCCATTGTCCAGCAAGGGAGCTACTATGCAATGACTCACCTGCATGAGGCCACACCAGGGAATTGTTCAACCTTGCTTGGAGACTCAGCAATGCCCCCAGTCATGCTTGGACTTGTGTTTTCCAAGCACATGAACTGAGGTTATAAAACAGACAGAGTGGCCATATGTTTGGCCACTTCTCCTGCCCCCACCTACACTGCAAGCAACTAAAACACTGAGAAGAAGACAAGATTCCAGCAGAGGATATCAGCCCAGGTTTAAGGAACAAACCTGTATATTAAGGACTGCAATATCCAGTGGGGTGAGGAAACTGCTTAATCTAGATGTTTCCCAGTCTAATAGGGTTGAGAGTTTAGACTGCATGCTTATATTTTATTTCTTTTGGTATCACTTAAAATCACTTAAAATCTGACTTTTGCCTATCACTTACAATCTATCTTTTGTAGTCAATACATTTAACTGTTTACCTTTACCAGTGAGGTTGTAGGAAGCGTGTGGCAAATCTGCTCAGGATTGACAGAGGCTGGTGTATATCCACTTTCCGTTGATGAATTGGTGAACCAATTAATAAACGTGCACTGCTCGTCTTGCGCAGTGCAAGACGGTATATTCCTGGGGTACAATCCTGGGAGCTGGGGGGATTTGGCTGTGGTGCCTTTCCTTGTGTGATTCATGAGTGGCTCTGGGAGCATTCATGCAATCTAGCGAGGTGTGGGGCTTCACATGCTGTTGTGCTGAGTGATGACAGCTCCTGGAGCGGTTTGCTGCTGGTCACTAGCAGGGCATTATGAGAGACAGCCCAGGCTGGAAAGAGTTCAGGAGCTACAGTGGTCCCAGACTGCACCCTGGGGATCCCATCACAATAGCTTGACCTCGGGATCTCTCAGCTATCATGATAGAGTGCCTTGGTGACTTTCTGATGGGTTTAGTTCTTTGCAGGTAAAAAGCCAGTGAATGCTGGACATCAAGGGAGTGAAGTCTCTTCTCTTTGGGAGAAGTGTGGAGTTTGGGAAAAGAGACAGGTAAGTGAATATGCTGGTTAAAAGGTGAAATTCAGAGATTAGCCTGGGAAGAAATTCAGGGTGAAGGCAAAGCGATACCTTGTCCTTCTGAAATACCGTAAAGGGAGGACCTGCCATGAGGGCTCCCAATTTGTTGACCCTCCTGGCCAAAGCGATGGCCACGACACCACTTTCATGGATGGTGGCACAGGGAGAGGGAGTAGAGAAAGGGAGCAGAGAAGTGTACCTTTTTAGGGTTTGACCATCGAATGAAGGAGGCAATGATCCTGGTGAGAACCCTGGAGTTGATGTGGTCCTTGTTGGGTGAGTAGACTGAGTTGAGCCAGGCCTGTAGGCAACATAGATGAAGTCTGGCAAAGTGTCTCACATTAGAACACGCTGCCACATGGCCTAGCAGCAAAATGCACATTCTCATTGTAGCATTTGGTCTGTGGGAAATTAAATAAATCAGGTTGCATATCATTTGAAACCCTTCTGCGGGGAGGAAGGCTCTTGCAGAAAGAGTTCAATAAATTTTATCGGCTTCATGAGGGATAAAATGGATTTTTCTCTGTTCACGCAAACCCCCAGTGCTGTGAGAAGCTGAATGAGGAATTGAATAGCTGATGTGATCTTCCGTCGAGAGGGTCCTAAAAGGAGCCAGTCATCCAGATACAGAAAAACTGTATGGCCCTGACATCTCATCTGTGCTGCCACCACAGAAAAAAATCTTTCATAAACACTCTGGGTGCTACCACTGGTCCAAACGGGAGGACCCGGAATTAGAAGTGTTCCTTACCCACCATGAACTATATGAGCCTCCTGTGGCAAGGGTGAATATCTATATGAAAATATACATCCATTTTGAGAGCTATGACCCATCTTTCCTCTACTGATGCCAACGTAACCATCCTTTATTTTGACTTTCCAATGAAGATGCTGAAGTGCTAAAGATCCAGATTGGGTCTCTACCCTCCGTGTTTTTAGGGACTAGGAAATATGGACACTAGAACCTTCTTCCTTGATACTGAGGCAGGATGTGTTCTATTTCCCCTCAGTATAACAGGGATTCTACTTCCTGTTGAATGGTCATCTAGTGAGACTGGTCCCAAAGAGGGACCGGAAAGGGGCTTGTGTGGAGGGAAGGGGAGGAACTCTGTGGAGTATCCCTGATGGATAATCTCCAAAAACCCAACCAGCTATCGTGATTAGCTCCCAGTTCCAGGCGAAAAGAGTAAGATGGCCCCAAAAGGTGATGGAAAAAAGGGTAGGTGGCATCAGAGATGGCATTTAGGTCTCAACTAAAATGTCAAAAGTGGTTCCTAGCAGTGGGCTGGGAATGGTTGAGGTGGTAGAGGGGGCTTAAAAGCTGGGCCTCTCAGTCGTCTGTTGCTTGCATGGAGGCTCAGCAGGATGCTGGTAGTAGAAAGCATGAGGAGGAGGAGGCGGTGGTCTTGATTTATAGGTCTGCCTGTAGTACTTCCTTCTTGGGGCTGGTGGGCAGATCCCCAAGGAGCAGAGGGCAGACATCAAGTCCTTTGACGAATAAAGAGAGTCATCAATTTTTTTCATTGAAAAGGTTCAACTTGTCAAAGGGAAGATCTTGGATAGTATTCTGCACTTCCCTGGGAAATCCTGAGGATTGCAACCAAGAATCCCTCCTCACAACAATACCAGTGACCAAGCTTGTTGATGCTCTATCCACTGCATCAACTGCAGCCCAAACAGCCATTTTTGCCACCAACTTGCCCTCCTTTAGTAAGGACAGGAATTGGGCTCTGTCACCAGGGGAAAGTTTGTCCTGAAAGGCCACCAGCCTAGAGTAGTTGTTGAAGTTGTACTTTGGTGATGCGGAATTGCAAGCCCACAAAGAAGACCTTTCTCCCCAGGAAGTCTGATCTCCTGAAGCCTTTGTGTGACGGGATGGTCCCTAGGTATAGTGCCCTATTCCTTTCTGTAGCAACCTGGACCGCCACAGAGTCTGGAGCAGGGTGGGAGAATAAAAATTTGCCTCCCTTTGGTGGGACCAAAAAGTGCCTGTTGGCCCTCAGAGATGTGGGAGTACAGGATAATGGGGTGTGCCAATCTTACTAGTTCCAATATGGCCTCATTAACTGGGAGGACCACCTTACTTGGGCCCTGAGGCTACAGAATGTCTAACAGTTGGTGTGGGCCTTGGGTTTCCTCCAGAGGTATCTAGAGACAATTAGCCACTCTTCACACAAGTTGTGGTATTGCTGATGATTGTCCAGTGGGGATGGGGAAGAGGAGATTCCCATTAGGACTGTCTGTACCTGTAGTTCTGGTTCGACAACCTCTTCCTCCTCATACACCAGTGAATCTGATTGTGGGTGAGAAGGAGAAGAGTGGAAAGTCTCCTGGGTGAGTCCCAGGCATCTGCTATCAGGATCCTACAGTCCCCAATAAGGCCAGAAAGAGGGGCCAACTGTTTGAGGGGGACCCTGTGGCATGGGAAACTGCCAGTCTCTAGGAAAGTCACGACTATACAGGTAGCAACTGTAAGTCCTGGATTGCCTGTTTGGGCTTGGCTGTCTCGGGGGTGGATGGGGTGGGGGGTGTGAGAGAATGAAGGAAGAGCCAGCTCATCAGATTCATCTGAATCTGAAAATTGCTCCTGTTGGAACGGCAGAGCTGGCAGCACCAGGCCAATGCTGCCAGATGGTTGTAAGTGAGATGGTTCCTGGGACAACAATGTACTGTCGTCTTCTGGTCTAGTAATGTCCTCAGGAGGGTTGGGCCAGAGAAGAGGGGAGACTGTGGATAGGGGAAAAAGGTATCCTCTGGTGTGTTGTAGGTCTGAGTATGTTCCAATGCACGGGGCGTTCAGATGGTCGGCACCAACAGTACGGGTACATTCCTGGGCACGATGAGGTCTTTGGGGAGGTAAGTCAGTATCAAAGAGTCTGGACCGTTGTGGACAGGACCAGCAGATTGCTGTCTTTATGTTTCAGTGCCAGAATCACAAGTGCATTCTTCTTTCTACATGCTTTACCCTCAAGCCTGGGTTGTGTGTGGTTTGTCTTTTTGTTTTTGTCGTGGGTTTTTGTTTTGTCCGTCAGAACTGGTTCTTTAGGATATGTAAGGGTTTGCCTGACCTCAGTGGGCTCAGGGAAGGAGCACATCTCTTATAGACAGTCACTGATGGCGTCTGTCCTTGTGCCCATGAGTGCCCCTTACTTTTGTGGGAAGCCCTGGAGGACTCCACTCCTAGGCATGTGCTCATAAGGGCGCTGCTCATTTGTTGAGGCCAAAGTACACGGGTGTCTCCCTGGCTGGATCAGAGAAGGGCCTCATGGCCTTCTTCATCAAGCATTCCTAAGGCAAAGCTGAAAGGCTTTGTGATTTCTCAGTGGAAACAAGCGACAAAATATGCATCTCACCCAAACAGTAGAGGCAGCATTGCTATTTGTCACTGGCGGAAAAGGATCTAGGGCGGGAGATGCAGTTTTTGATGCATGGGACTCTGGGAGAAGTCCTTGGTCCATGGAAACAAACTACTCTAGAACTATAACTGTACTAAACTAAAAAGAACAATTATTCACCAACCATTTTATTTACAGGTTTTCTGAAAAGCTGAAGAAAGAGAAGACACTGGATTCCGACTCAGGACATGTGGTGGTTAGAAGGAACTGAGGTGGCATCTACCCGCACTGCCTCTGATCTCCTCGTGCTCCCAAGTTGAGGGTATCTACTGTGCCAAAGGACACTGCTTGTTAAATTCTCTGGGCATGGGAAGACAGTGCGCATGTGTACCCACACATGGAATATGCACACAGACCAGCACTCAAAGAAAAATCACCAGTTAGTCAAACATTTCCTTCATTCAGCAAAACAAACAGAGGATTTTGCTTTACTGTACCTTTATTCTGAGAATGGGATGTCCACATCCCACTAATAATTAGAACAGTCCCTGGGCTCTGTGGTGGCTAGTTTTCAAAAATGCTTAGCAAGGGCTTGTCTTATGTAGGGTTTTTGGCGTGTACTGAAATTGGGGGTCCGTGCGTCTCTCAGAGCTCACTTGGAACAAGGGCTGATGACTGTCGGGGTGGGGGGGTAAACCAGTGCAACATTGACTCGCTCGCTGCCATTCCTGGGGCAGACGATCTCCGTCACTCCCTCTGGTCTAGGCTGACTCAGCAATTCTCCTGAGAGAGAGAGAGAGAGAGAGAGAGAGAGAGATTGAGCATCACAGCCATATTCACAAGACAGCTCATTTCACAAAGACTCATAAGGGAGGCACCTAAGACCAATGTCATAAAATGTTCTATAAGGAATTTTATTTTTCAACCCAACAAAATTCTCATCTGCATAACCATGATGGTGATTATAGCTGGAATAATGTTGCTCCAGACAAAGGCAACATCTGCCATTACACCCTGCTCCCCTAACCTGCATCACCACAGACGGACTCCAAAGATCTTTAGCTAGACATGGTAAATTGAAGTGGGTCTCTAGAGTCTAATGAGGCAAGGACTGCAGAGTAGGTGTTCCTAATTAGGATTCAAGGGCAGATGGGATCTGAAATTTACCTTCCAACAAAGCTCTGCATACACTATATGAATTGCAGGTGTCAATAAACCAGCTGGCAGATCAGTGGAGAGAGCTATAGTCATCCCCCTACTATTTGTGTCTATGCAGTACAGTGATTGGTAGTCTAACCCGCCACCCCCACCCCACATAGAGAGACTACCCTATCATGGAATAAGTCCGTACAAATCTAGCTATGGGATTCTATGACTACCAAATGGAGACTCTATTCCTTTGCATAAACCAGCAGTGGCCAAATTTGAGCTTCATTAAAAATTTAGATTTGGGGATGCAACATTCCCAGGGGCTGCTGCTCTCTAGCTCAGAGATCATGCTGCACCAGGCTGCTGGCTCTTTGTTTGCTGGCTGGAGTACGTGTCCTACGCTCCCATTACAGCAAAATGCTGTGTGTCAAATCCTGCTCCCAGACGCTCCTGCACAACCTTCCATGCAGTCAATGGGAGTTTCAGGGGTGCATTCCAAGGCAGAACGTGGGCCTCTTACTTTGACCTTTGCACAAAGTACCCATCTTCTGCATTGGCCCTTACGGAATTAAGCAAATACAAGAGCATTCCGCAGCTGCCTGCTGAGGGGCAGTGGTGGTGCATTTCTACAGCTGACCCATTCACCAGGGCTCCCTTCAGCAACTATGCCATGAGTCAGTCAAGTTCATTTGTTTGATAAAAAGCTACTCCTGATTAGCCAGTTCCTGACACCCCAAATCACAGAGAAGTCAAGGGAGGACCCTGCACCAGCTACAATCATGTGACGAAGATATAAGTGAAGAGACAAATGGACCAAGCCCTGAGCGTTTGATCCTGGAATACAGAGCTGTTGTAGCAATGTCCCTTTATCCTCAGGGATGCACCATTTAACACCCCTATCTGGAACCATGGTCTGCACTTGGATCTAGAACTGCAGTTCCCAAACTGGCCCAGGGAGTACCAGTGGTCTGCAGGGAACTGCTGTTCTAGGAGAGGTGGCTGACCACAGGGTGCCAGTTACTCTGCATTTTCAGCTGCTAAATCACATTAAAAGCAGCTAAAAATACATTAAATAATGTCCCTCATTTTACTTTTCCATGTAAGCAACAGCTGCTGATGCCAGCGGAACCTTACCTGATTGCTTACGGCAGCAGCCCATGCCATGGTGAATGGGAGGGCACTTGGCCAGGCGATGCTCTCTATTAAGATGTGGTCTGTGGTATGGAAGTTTTTGGGACCCTCAGGTTTAACCCCTCTACTCCCATCTCTGGGAGCAACCGCTGGGACAGTGAGCTGGGTTTCACCATTTGTAACCAGCCCATTAAACAACACCACAGACATTGATGATCATTCAAGTGAGAAGAGAAAGAACAAGAAGAGCCCATACCAGGCTCTCTTAAATGTCCAGTTAAGAACAATAGACTGGGAATGACACATGCACTTGCTTACACATTAAGTAAATGGGGGGGGGGGGGAGAGAGAGAAGAGAGCGACAGGAAGGCTAAATCAGAAATAGAACAAAAAGTCACATCTCTGGAGGTTTGCCCATCTCCATTAGGAGAGAACTCTTACTTATTTTCCAAGCCTCACCTTTAGTCTTTAGCTTGTGCAAATAGCCTTCCCACAGCACGGCTCTCATTTGTAACCTCTCTAGCTTCTCTAAACTAGGAGTGATAGCTGAGTGATTTCAAGTCTAAAAGTTCACATCATGCCATCCTACTGTAGTGTTCTCTTCCTGGGCATTGCTCCTGACCAACAAAAGTCTGATTCACAGCCCAGGGTAAAACTTGGCATTAAACTATTTCAGAATAGTCATGTCTAATTCAGGTTTCCTTCACCCAGTAATGATTATCCAAAGCACGACTACGGTCCCAGGTTTCAGGCCACAGATGCAATACACCATTAACAGTTGCCTAGTAATGAGAGATATTGGACTGAGAGCACTATAGCGATATCGTGCAGACATCAGCACTGCAAGTACCCATCCTACTTGACAATGTCTCCACTGTGATGTAGTGGTGACCGTTTTACCAGTGATAAGGTATATCAGCGTCCACTAAGCACTTTGCCTGTTTGCCTAGACTGCTGACAAAGATGCCAACTGTCCCAATGCTGAGGGTTGTGTGTGTGTAAGTCAGACAACTGTACGCCAGCAACAGGACTGGGATTACCAGCTCATTTTACAAGGCCACCTGTCAGACGGTAACAAGCAAGTTACTACTGACCTAGATCAGAAGTGAAGTACTGATGGAACAAGATGGCAATTTCCTGCCATATCCTGGACAAACCTAACTGAATTAGGTTCAAGTATCTTAGGAGTTTGTTATATTAAAAATGTCAGTGTTTTTATGTATTATTATGGGTTTGTATATAACAGGGGTGGCCAAACTTACTGACCCTCTGAGCCACATATGACAATCTTCAGAAGTTTGAGAGTCAGGGCTCAGGGCTTCAGCTTTGTGGGAAGAAGGGTTTTGGGGCTGAAGCCCTGAGACACCCCTCCCTGCTGCACAGAAGTCATTCCTAACCCCACCACCCCACCGCAGGGTGGAAGCCCTGAGCTCTCCCTCCCTAGTTTGGTAGGCAGAGAATGGGGGGAGGGGCCCTTGGCAAGCCACACTAACTGTAAAAGCTGCAGTTTGGCCACCCCTGGGATACAACATCTCTAGGGAGACATGACTGATGTAAACCCTGGGAAACATAAGAGTGTCAAAGGGCTACGTGAAACAAAAGGCCAAGCTAGAAGGAACTTTCAAAGTGAAGTGGGTGTCCCAGGAAATCTCTCTGTGTATGCACACAGACCCCTTCCGGCTATGCAAGAACTCAGCCTTCTGAATCTTTGCCCTTAGGAAGGGTTCACTGGCTGCTGATCAGCTGTTACACGAGGACAAGATCAAAGGCCCAAAAATGGTATAAAGAAGTGACCCTCAGATTCCTGGGGTGCTTGTTCTGAGCCAAGTGGTTATGTGCTTGTAACCACAGAAAAACCTTTTGGTGGGGTCTGAGAGATTAATCACCAGCCAGAACCCTTGCTGGAGTTCAGGGAGATCTCTCTCAGCTTGTTGAGTAGTTTCTTTTATTGGCTTGAATGTGTGTTGTCTGCAACACTTGTGACCCTCAGAGCGGCTCAATGCCAGCTGGCAGAGGGCCCACCATACTGTAACTCATGTCAGGCCCGACACACTCACTACCCCCCCCCACTTTCTGTTGTCATATCAGGTATCACATGTAAACCCATTACACACTGGTCTCAGAAGTCACTGCGTGAGGTAAGTACAGGTGGTATTCAAGAGCTTGTGGGTGGGCTGGAAATACGTTCTTAGAATACGTTTGGGCGGCAGTGTGTACACCAAGCCTGACAGAGGAGTCTGGATTCACCTCTCTGACTGGCGTGACCTGAGGAAGAGCTCTGTGTAGCTTGAACGCTTGCTTCTTTCACCAACAGAAATTGGCCCAATAAAAAAATATTACCTCACCCATCTTGCCTTAGTTACTGGCAGAGAACAATGAAAGTATATTTACATATAGGTAAACAAAGCCAACAAGCTATCAGGCTGTGGGTCAGAGTGTTTCTGGCTCTTGAGGCAGAGGATAAAAAGGACATTTTAGTTACTCATCGCTTAGAGAACAAAGGGAACAGCACCCTCTCATTCTGTGAACATTGGATCTTCTGACCTGGAGGGCTGGAGATGCTGGTAACATGAGGTAAATGAGAAAATTGCTCAGACAAAGATTGTAACTTACTAAGATCACGGTTCAGTCACTAGAAAGCTGGTTTGGTTGTTTGTAACCAGACCTGTCTCTTTTTCTCTTGCTTAATATCACTTAAATCTCCTTGTTAATACATTTATTATTGTTTTCTTACCAAACCATCTTAGTGCTGCTATTCTGAATGAAAGCTTGAGTCGTCAGCTAACCTAACAGGCTGATGTGTGCGCCGTTTCCTTGGAGGAAACACACAATTTCTGTGACTGTCCAGTGAAAGGGACACTGCAGGGGGGTATCTGAGGGACTCGAGAATTGGGATTTGCTGGTGGCTACCTGCAAGACAAGGGTTAGACTGGCAGAGTCCCAAGAAGTTTACTGGCAAGGCAGACAGACTGTTGTGTCCAGACAGACCCTCACCGTGGCAGAGTTGGCGGGATGACTCATTTGAAAGCACTGAGATATGCAAAGACCCTCCACAGACTGAGAAAGCAGAAATGACGGCCGTGCTGCAAAGCCACAAGCAGGTATCTTCTAATATGCCAGGGATGACGCCACTTTCATCTTAAGCATCTGCCTGGGACAGCCTATGAGGAGGAGGCAAAGCAGGCTGGCTGAGGCAGCCTGACTTGCTGGAGAATACACAGTATAGCCAGGGAACTGTGCAGCCTGGGAAAACCCAGTCCGGAGGCAGAAAGAGGCAGGCCTCTGTGCAAGAGAGGTGATGGCAGGAGAGCAGGGTGGATTGATTTAAATACGCAAGTGGAAAGCCTCAATTTAAATCACTGATGTTAATCAACTTTTCCATTTGTACTTCAGTTTCTAAAAAGCACTCTCACAACTTGATCTAGCCATTAAAACATGCTGATTTACAAGTGGAGCCTTTACGCTAAATTTGGTGTATCTTTTTGCTACCTAGGAGGGTCCAC